GATTAAATTTAATCCCATAAAGATTAAGATAAACAGCAACAGTCCTAAACAAGCATCCTTTATATGTATTCCAATATTTAACTCATACAGGAAGAATGAATTAGTTTCACCTTTTAGCAGTTAAAGTGCCTTGAGATGACATGTGTTGTGAACTGGCTCTATGTAAATAAACTGAACTGAATTGAATAGAACTAAAATATCGAACTGGATCATTTATTCAGAGGTAAATTCCCAGCAGAACAGTCAGAATTGGAGCTGCTGAATAAATAAGGCAATGTGAGCTTCTTTAATGTTGGTTTAATGACACATTTAAACTCTGCAGTTTGGCTGCTGGACAGAACACTGCAAAAAATCATCAACATGAGGCAAATATTCGTACAATAAATATAATCAATTCTTCTGATTGGAGACGATAAAATCTGCCACCTGGGTAAGAAAAAGCTATTTAGATTAAATTACGCTTCATTAAATTCATTTTTTGAACTGGCGAGTTAATAACGCAGCCTGTGATTTAAAATAATTCAAAATAATCTTATTATGTAATTTTATCCTAAACCATTATCAGGCTTAAGATGAGCTGAAATGTCCTATTAGTAAAGGCAAATAAAAATATGAAATATTCTTTCAGAACATCAAGATAAACGTCTCAGGATAAATAATTCCTCATTTATTCCCCTTAACTTAACTTTTACTACATTTTATGTAACGATCGTTGTTCTGTTGGTTTTTCTCTAAGTTTTCAGTTTTAGGTTCATCCAGGTTTTTCCTTGTTTTCTAGCTTTATTGGTTTGTTCTGGATTCATTTAAGTTTCTTAGGTTTTTCTTTGTCTGTCCTCTGTTCACTGGAAAAACGATCTAGAAATAAGAAAAAAAAAATTTAAATTAAGTGTATTTACCCTTAATTTGAATATTTATATGAGATGATCTGCCAATGGAATGAGTGTTTTTACTCTTAAAATAAGATATTTAGATAAAATGCACCTGAAATAAGACAATGCAATAATTATAAAGGTAAATTTTCTTGTTCCATTGGCATAATGTCTCTTTTACCTCCTCAATTCAAGAACAAATGCACTTATGTTGAGAAAAAATGACTGACCTAGATTTGGTTTTTTTCCAGTGTTGCCCCCTTGTTGTCATGTTTGGCTTAAGGTTCCTAACCCACATGCAGAACACACTGTTCTGGAGTTTGAGCTGAGCGGCTGAGGGGGGGGAACCTTGAGGGTCCAGAGGCTGTCGGCAGGCTGAGGGCTTGGCGGAGGCAGAGCTTGGTTTGAGTGTTTGCAGATCACAGATTTGAGTTTCCCTTCCAGATTCTTCAGAGAGCGGGCAGGCAGATTTCTAACAGAGAAACTCTTCAGGGTTTCTGGTCTCAGGCAGGTTCAACCGTAACTGGCAAACACTCTGGCACTGGAGAGACGTCCTCTGCCTCCTTAAATACAGATCTCCTGATGAGCGGATGAGCGACAGGTGGTAGCAATCAGCTCCGGCTCCAGAAGATCTAGTACGCCCTCTGGTGGAGAAAGTGGACAGACCTCCAGATCCCAACACTTGTGTTTTCTTTTCCCATTGCTTCCGAATCAGCTCGACTCACACCTGCTTCTTATCAGCTCGTTAGTCCTTCCTTTGTTCAGTCAGCCATAAATACACTCCCTCTGCAGTCCCTCTGTGTTGGTTTCTCGTCTTACTTCATCTTACCCTGGATCCTCATGATTGTTTCCCCTGATGTCTCCATGGTCCTGGTTTATGCCTAATTCTCATGTTGTTGTTTTTTGGATTCTTGTTTTGATTAAAATTTTAAGTTGGATTTTTTGAATTATTGTTTGGCTGCCTGACATCCTTGATTAAACAATCAAAGATCTCACCCCTGCCTCTCAGCTTCTGTTTTTGGGTCCTCACATAAATCTTAAAACCAAATCCTGACATTTTATCCTCATTTTGAGCTTTAAAAATGAAATATCTATCCATCTTCTTGATTTTTTTTAAACATGCCTGCTTCCTCTCCTGCCTGGTCAGTTCTTAGAACAACTTTTAAATCCCATCAACAAACACAATTCAAATCACTTAATTCGAAATATTTAATCAAAGCACCTGAAACATCATGGATCCAAAGTCTCTAGAAAAACATGAAGCTGCTTATTTTTGTTTTGATAGTGAAGTATTGCTGTATAGTCCAAACCTGCTAATGCTGCTTTATCAATTTAAAACGCTTTAAAATAACAAAGAAATGCGCATTTAAAATGTGAAACATTTAGCTAATACAAAAAGCAAATGAAAAGTTAAAAATAAAAAGAGAGTAAAAACCGAGACTACCCTGTTGTGCATAATGCCAAGGAGTGAACAGAGTTTTAAAGGTGGACAGTGAAGGAGCTCTTCTGAAACCAAGAGGAAGATCATTAAATAGCCTTAGAGGAGCAACCCTGTCTCCTCTCTGCTTCCTTTTAAGGCTCTGTGCCTCCAGGAGCAGCTGACAGGAAGCACCGAGCAGGAGAGCAAGAATTGAGCCGCTCAGTGAGGTAAGTTGGGGAAAAAAACATTTATAACTTTAAAAGCTAATGACAGAAACTTAAAATAGAGTCTGAAACACACAGACAGCGGTCAGAGGGAAGCCTGGCTGGGGGGGATGTGCTCCGTAGCACCAACTCCAGTTAGAAACCTGGTAGCAGCATTCTGGATCCACTGCAGACATTACTGGGAGGACTGGCCAAATCCAAGGTGAAGCCCATTAGAGAAGTCCAGCTGGGATGGATCTGTGCGATGAGACCTAAATCAGCTTTTCAATTCTATTCTGTTTATTTCTATAGCGCCAATTCACAACACGTCATCTGAAGGCACTTTACAGTTCACCAGATCATCCAGTCAGATTGATTCAAAGTTTTTTATCTAAGGAAAACCAGCTGATTGAAGAAGCAGAGATTAAAAAAAAAAAGCAACTGTAAAAGGCGGCCCCGTCCAGGAAACACACAGCCAGGCAGACGAGCTCCGAGCCAGCTCCCATGTCAGAGGATGAAGAGAGCACATCCAGTTAGTCACAGTCAGAGAAACAGGACTACACTGGAAAACAGGCCAAGCTCCAACATCTAGAAACAATTGTGTTGATGGCAGCAGCACAGCTGATATTTCTCTCCAGGATGGAGTCACAGCCAAACAGGAACAGACCAGATGAAGCTACTATGAGAAAAAGCAGAGAGAGCAGAACGTTAGAGATTGAACTAACAGATTCTGCAGAGAATAGAGATAGAATGAAGCAGAATGATGAAAAAGGGGTCCCTATGTCCTCCAGCAGTCTAAGCCTATAGCAGAAGAACTATTGGCTTAGTGAGGCAGGCAGGCAGACAGTATGTTAAGAGGAATCCAGCCACCGCTAATCTCTAGAGTATATCATCCTTGCTTCAAAGCACCCTGAACCTTAGGTTGCCTTACAGGGTGGAAAGGGAGGGGCCTGTTAGAACGTGGTCAGTCAGACTCAAAGAGAACTTCTTTTCCTTGACCTGTCAAAGCCATAAATCCCCATTACATTTTTATTTACACTATTTTCTGTAAGTTATAGCTCAAAATTAGCCCCACCTCCCAAAAGAAATTCTTCTCATGTCCTGTTATGTTTTTATTCCTTTTTTATTGTGAAAGCTGTGATGACTGCAGACATATACACTCACCGGCCACTTTATTAGGTACCCCATGCTAGTAACGGGTTGGACCCCCTTTTGCCTTCAGAACTGCCTCAATTCTTGGTGGCATAGATTCAACAAGGTGCTGGACGCATTCCTCAGGGAGTTTGGTCCATATTGACATGATGGCATCACACAGTTGCCGCAGATTTGTCGGCTGCACATCCATGATGCGAATCTCCCGTTCCACCACATCCCAAAGATGCTCTATTGGATTGAGATCTGGTGACTGTGGAGGCCATTTGAGTACAGTGAACTCATTGTCATGTTCAAGAAACCAGTCTGAGATGATTCCAGCTTTATGACATGGCGCATTATCCTGCTGAAAGTAGCCATCAGAAGTTGGGTACATTGTGGTCATAAAGGGATGGACATGGTCAGCAACAATACTCAGGTAGGCTGTGGCATTGCAAAGATGCTCAATTGGTACCAAGGGGCCCAAAGAGGGCCAAGAAAATATTCCCCACACCATGACACCACCACCACCAGCCTGAACCGTTGATACAAGGCAGGATGGATCCATGCTTTCATGTTGTAGACGCCAAATTCTGACCCTACCATCCGAATGTCGCAGCAGAAATCGAGACTCATCAGACCAGGCAACGTTTTTCCAATCTTCTATTGTCCAATTTCGATGAGCTTGTGCAAATTGTAGCCTCAGTTTCCTGTTCTTAGCTGAAAGGAGTGGTACCCGGTGTGGTCTTCTGCTGCTGTAGCCCATCTGCCTCAAAGTTGGACGTACTGTGCGTTCAGAGATGCTCTTCTGCCCACCTTGGTTGTAACGGGTGGTTATTTGAGTCACTGTTGCCCTTCTATCAGCTCGAACCAGTCTGGCCATTCTCCTCTGACCTCTGGCATCAACAAGGCATTTCCGCCCACAGAACTGCCGCTCACTGGATGTTTTTTCTTTTTCGGACCATTCTCTGTAAACCCTAGAGATGGTTGTGCGTGAAAATCCCAGTAGATCAGCAGTTTCTGAAATACTCAGACCAGCCCTTCTGGCACCAACAATCATGCCACGTTCAAAGTCACTCAAATCACATTTCTTCCCCATACTGATGCTCGGTTTGAACTGCAGGAGATTGTCTTGACCATGTCTACATGCCTAAATGCACTGAGTTGCCACCATGTGATTGGCTGCTTAGAAATTAAGTGTTAACGAGCAGTTGGACAGGTGTACCTAATAAAGTGGCCGGTGAGTGTACATTTTTGCTATATGCCCGTCTGTAGGAATAATGATAAGAAATTGCAGCTTTTTATAGATTTCTTTTTTATTTATTAATCTTTTGATGAACTGTTTTCTTTCTGTGACTTTTATTACAGTGAAACAAGATGCACTTCTCCAACATTTCCTACTACGACGAGGCCGACTATGATGAATACTACAATAATGACTTTGATAAACCGTGTGAATACAATGAGAGCAACAGGGTGAACAGTGTGGTTGGTCCTTACATTTACTCCATCATCTGCATCCTGGGCTTTGTGGGGAACAGCCTGGTCATCCTCACCTATGCCCTCTACAAAAGAAGCAGAACTATGACCGATGTCTTCCTGCTCAATGTCGCCATCGCTGACCTTCTGTTCGTGATGGCTCTACCGTTCATAGTCTACAACGAGCTGCACCATTGGCCGATGGGGCAGGTGGCCTGTAAGCTGCTGCGTGGTTCCTACAGCGTCAACCTGTACAGCGGCATGCTGATGCTGGCCTGCATCAGCGTGGACCGCTACATCGCCATCGTCCAGGCTCACCGCAGCTTCAGGCTACGCTCGCTGTCGCACAGCTACGTTATCTGTGCCCTGATCTGGGTCTTTGCTTTACTGGTGTCTGTTCCCACTTTCTATTTCTACCACCGGTATGAGCCATCACACCACAGCATCCAATGGATCAATGGAACAGAAGAGGAAGAGACTCCAGTAGCTCCACAGTACGTCTGCGAGTGGAAATTTGAGGACAGTGAGGTAGCAAAGATGGTGAAGGTGGCTGTTCCCGGCACCCAGCTTGCCATTGGCTTCTTCCTGCCTCTGATCATCATGATCTTCTGCTACACCACTGTCATCATCACTCTGAAAAAATCCAAAAATTTCCAGCGCCACAAAGCTGTCCAAGTGGCATTGGTTGTGGTTCTGGTGTTTATTGTCTGCCACCTGGCTTACAACCTCGCCCTCATCTATGACACTGTCAGCATGTTCAAACAAAGCAGTTGTGATGAGGTGGAGTCTCTGCTAATGGCGAAGGCTGTGCTTCAGATTATCGCCTACCTGCACTGCTGCCTGAACCCGGTTCTGTACGCCTTCATTGGGGTGAAGTTCAGGAACAATTTCAGGAATATATTCCAGGACCTGTGTTGTGTGAGTAAAGGTTATATATCGCCAAACCGCTCCTCAAGAGTTACCTCCAATACCTACATGTCCACAATCCACCAACCAGGGGATGGGACTAGTGAGAAGGGCATGAAAAGACATCGCACTCAGGAACTCTGATTCTGACCTGCGGAGAGTTCAAACCTGAGTTGAATATTAATCATTTTGTTCTAATATGAATTTAATACAAAATTGAATCGGAGACCAGGAAAAATAAAGAAAACGTAAGTTTTGTTGCTTTGAGTTAATTTCTGATCAGTTTTCTGAAGGATCCATGGTTGCTGATGACAGTATGGTGATTTAAGCCGCTTTCCCACAGCAAACCTGGAATTTTAAAAACCTGGTTAACAATCTGCTTTTGGCTCCTTTCCCATTTTACCATAAAGCAGAGTCTAAAACCTTACTGGCAAGTGCGTGGCCTCTGTCCCCCACCACTGCCTGTCTGATGACGGTATCAGGGGAAGTGTTGGCCTAGTCATAAGAGCAGTACGATTGTGTTTTGAGAAGGTTGCAAGTACCCACTTCGATCCCCACAGCCTGCACTCTGGGTTCCTGGGCAAGACCCTTAACCCCACACTGCTCCCCGTCCCCCCACGATGGCAGCCCCCCGAGGGGATGGGTTAAATGCAGAGATACATTTCTCCAATGTGAGATAAATAAAGTTCAATTGTTATTATTAATTAATATTATCCTGCTGGGTTAGCATTGATGATGTCAACAGTGTGCAAAATCAGGGAAGTAAACAATGGAGAGGAACCATAGCGTAGTCAGTATTTTTTATTGATATGCTCTATTATCTGTCTGAATCCCTCCCACCAGACCTGCTCCATGTTTATCGAATGTAAACAGAGTTTTTCTTCTTGTTGGATCAGAAGCAACTGGCGCGGTGCGATTATATGTACGTTGCATTCAATGTTATCACGTAATTTAGCGTGTCAAACTGGTATTGGTGTTCCCACAGCATGCCGATCAGAGCCGAGTTGATTTTAAATTAGGTCGCTTGCCAAGTCTTTTTACTTGGAAAGACACGCATCAGTGAGCTGTTTCCACTGCCACTAAAAGCCGGTTGTTTCTGGGTTTAAACAGGTTTTTCGGCCAGTGGGAAAGTGGTATTACATAAGCTATAATGATGTATAGTGGTAAAAGGTAATTGATAGGAAGTATACAATATTAAGTGGCTTATTGTTTGTATGAGCTTTAAAGGTAGTTAAAAAGAAAAAGCAGAACAAATAGACAGCTCCTCTGATGTCTGGTTTAAACTCTGATCCAATGGGTCAATGAAGCCTAATTTCCCCTTCCTCTTTTAGAGTTAATGTTTAATTTATGTTGGTAAAACTTTACAAAAAGGTGCAGGACATTTGATTAACTGCTCAGGAACACCTTGGTAACTAATGATGTACTTATGGGTAGCTAACCAATTAGCTCACCATGTAGCTTACTGAGGAACACTAATTATAGATCCTTTTAATCCTTTACTATAAAATTCCAGACGGAGGAGTTTTATTTAAGGAATGATTTAAAGATTTATTCAAAGGAGTCAGCACATGCTGCAGGACACTCTGGTTGGACTAATTCTTCATTTTAACAGATAAACCAGATGTCGTGATGTTTTTAAGAGATCTGACCCACATGCAGGAAAACCACTCAGAGAACCAGAGTAAAAGTTTAACAGGTTTATTGAAATAAAAATAAGGTTGATCCAGGGTAACTCAGAGAGCTGATGAACCGGAACTGGAAGTGAGAAGGGAAGTTCAGAGATTAGTTCAGGGTCCGTGGGAACTTTGAACAATGTCTTGCAAAAATCAGAGATGAACGGGACTCACGTTAGCAGAAAATATTCCCTTCCCAGAATCAAGTCAGTGTGGGTTTATCCAGAGATTAGGGGGCTTGTTGGAGGGCGGACAGGTTTTTGGTTAGGTTGGTTCCTTGAGGAGCAAAGGAGTGGACTGCCACTTAGATTTCCAGGAGAACTTGAACGGGTCGTGTTGAGATTAATCCCCTGCTCAGTGTGAAGCTCAAAACAATCCTTCCAGGGGGAGAAGGCCAAAAATCCAGTTTGCAGGATGACTTCCTGCCGAAAAGGCAAAGACAAAAACAAGGTTGGAACTCAGAGAGACAAAGACTCAGTTTGTTTCAGCAAAACTAGAGTACCCAAAACTGGCAAACACTCTGGCGACAAGGTAGTGACTGTCCACCGCTTAACAGTCCTTAGCAATGAGCACAACCAGCCGCAGGTGTGTGGGAGGACCAACGAGAACATTGCGCCACCTGGTGGTGGAGGGAGAGAACACAAAAAACAAACACAGCCCACACACACTGGATTCCTAACACCATAGAAAAAGCTGGTAACCCTCTCAGGATCTTTGGGGAGGGGAAGGGAGATGTTGCAGGGTCCTCTACTGGTTTAAGAATGGCAGTTACATCACTGGAAGCTGGGATGACCCCAAGAGTTTAGAAACACTCGAATGCAGGCACTTGCACTGAAGACATTTCTCTGTTTTGGTTTTCCAGGGGAGAGACAGACCTGATTGGTTCATAGACAGAAAATCAGGGCCGATAGAAAAGATTTAAGCAAAAGGGTCCAAAGAGAAGGCGAGAACCCATAACCTTGCAAAAACAGAGTCAGAACCATGCAGGCAGAATAAGGTTTACAGAGCATGAGACTGGGTGAGAGCGGTAGTCATGGAGCAGAAACAAGAAAAAAGAAATAAATTCCTGGAGCAGAAACAGTTGATCAGGCACAGAAGGAACGCTGGACATGTCCTAACAAAGGTTTTCAATAATCTGGCCCCATCAAAAAGTTGGGTATTTGCTAAAAGAGGCTGGAACAGGAAAAAATCAGAGCTGATAGGGAGGACTTTTCTGTGACACAGACGTAGATTTTAAACTGAAAAATTAACAAATATGTCTAATCAAATAGGTCTGTTGCTTGAGTGTTTACACCCTTAAACATATTTGTTCAAAGATTTCTACATTTAAATGCTGTGTTCGGGTAGGAGTCTATCTAAATCATGACTCAGCCAAAGATTCTCAAAATCTCTTCATTTGTGAGGTTTTCTTTGACCCTCCAAATGACCCCAAAGACTTTATCCGGGCTTTGACTAGGCCAGTGGTCTGCAACCTTCACAAACCCCAAAAATCTTTTTGCCTTCAGTCCAGCAAAATAAAACTTTCTAATGTTACACGACTTTTTAAAATCATTTTTGGTAAATATCTCATTGGGAGTATTTGTTGGAATTTTTAAATTGAATTTTTTAAAGCATATCACTTTCGCTCAAAGAGAATCAATATATTTTCCTATCTGGGGATATTTATATTTGTGAAAATGTGGTAGCAGTTGTTTTTTTGTGTTCTTGAAGCTACAATCACAGTACAACAGAAATACATTTTTCCAGAACTGAACTTTTCTTGCAATGAATCTTTTTATCGATTCCAATTTGTTCTATGAATCATTGCAGTCATTTGCCTGTGAAGTAAAAGGAAACGCAATGATGCTGCCACCACTGTGCTTCACTATAGCGGAGGTGGATTCCTTATTTCTTCTTTATAATTTTCCAGACTGAATGCTGGGATTATATTGCACCCCTCCCCAGAGTGATGCTTTTTACCAGAGGGATCCAGATGATCCTCTGTAACATCTCTGCTCTTAGCTGAAGGATGCTGAGATGGAAAAAGCAACTTTGATCAGGACAGATGAGCTTAACTTCAGATTTTACAGATTTAGCACAAGTTGGAGCTAAACTAAAGTCTTAGTTTAAAGGTGTTAATTTGAGAGAAATACCCAATGTTTAGTTATACAGTAGCAGCTATTCAAATGTAGCCTCGTGAGACCATCCTGATCTCGCGAGCTTTCAAGGTTTCACTCGCAGATCAGTCTGGAGACTCTCCGTTAAAGAAAATTTGGAGCCGTTCACCAAACGAACGTCCAATCAGCGTTGGCTTTGAGGCGGGTTGAAGTGTGACGCAACGAGAAGCGCGACAGTTTAGTCTAAAGAACATGGCGGCTTCAGCCGATGAAACTAGCGTTAGCATGGCTATCGAGCAAGTTTTATGGGAATTACAGAGTATTTCTTCACTGAAAGAAGAGCAAAACACTGATCTGGAGGCTTTTCTCAGAGGAAAAGAGGTTTTTGCTCTTCTCCCGACTGGTTTCAGCAAGAGTTTGATCTATCAATTGGCTCCTCTTCGTCGTCGCTCTGTTAGTACGTCATATGCTTCGCTGATCTGATTTATTTGGCCCGTCTATCACCAACATAGGCCAATCAGCTAACCAGTATTTTCGCCCCTTCCCAAAATTACTTCAACGGAAGGTTTCCAGATGGATATGTGGCGCAAATCCATCTGGCGGAGTCAGGTTAATTCAAATGGCCCTTCCCAGTCAAATGACAGCTAAATGGCAGCACACATCCCCGCAACTCCCAGCAAAATCCCCTCCAACTTCCCACCGCTGGAGTGGCCTGTTGCATACTTTTTTACTCTGGCTCCACCCTTTCCCTGAATTAAAGGGTCTGACCAGGAAATTATGCTTCTCTTTAGATCTTAACGTCCACAAATCATGACAGAAAGAATATTTTAGATGTTTAAAAAGGAATTATTGGGGACCAGCCAAGGAACCATTAAGGAAAGTGGGGAAATTTTGAATGTCTACTACTGTAAAAGATGTTTATAGCCCCTAAAAACTGGAACATTTTATTTTGTATATTAATCCTATCTTTTTTTTTCTGATGAACTTGTGTAACCTGAGGATGTTAAATCTTCAGACTGTATTTCTCAGGACGAGGTGCCCCCCTCTCTCTCTCTGTCTCCTAAGATGTTCGGCAGCTTTTCTCCTCTTAAACTAAATCAGCTTTGGGTTCAATTTGAAAGATAAAACTCTGAAAGCTTTGCCAGCTTTAAGGCTTATGTTTGCTCGCTAAAAGCTGAAGGAATCTGAAGTTCAGGGAGTCAGTCAGCCTTAAAGTTTCCTGTCATGCTTTGAGTATCATTAATGTCCTGCATGAATGTCAATATTGACTCTGATGGAGAATCTGAGTTTCTGTGGATTTTCAATGCAAAAAATAAATATTTTTTGATTCAAATATGTTTCTTTTGATTTTTCTTCCTGGTTGTTATCATGCGACTCAACACCAGAGGTCAGCAAAGATTGTTGACACACTCTTTCAGTTTTTTTCTTCCCATGTTTTAATATTCAGAGATGCTGAAACATGAAACCACAGACTGATT